CAGTGAAAGCACTATAGAAGACAGCCCAGTCTCTTCATGCTATGGTCAGCTAAGGGAATAAACGGTCTTCCTGATCTGGGAGACATCACTTTTCTTGGCTTAGCTTGGCACTGTGAAAAAGAACAAACAACTTTTTGCTTCTACTGAGAATTATTTGTTGATTTGCAGACAGATGTCCCCTTGATCCTCAGAGGCCATCTTAATCACATTTTTCTAGTAGATATTCTTTCATCTATTCCCTGATATCTTTGCAAATGACAGCTTTGTTTCTTCTATCACATTAAGATATCACCTCTTGCCATTTTGCAATAAGCACCACTGGGACAAAAGCTGTGAACAGCTTTGCAACAAATGAAGCAGGGTAACCTCAGCCACCTGGAGCATCTGCCTTCACTGGATCTGTCACACCCTCAGGAGTGTTGTATCAACCACAACCACCATTTTCTGTAATAAGTGAAGCACTGCTCACTTCAGCCCTTCTGTACTGCACTGTATTATCTTTGCCTCATCTTGAAATGAGAGGCTTTAGAAAGAATCTAATGTAAAGCCTTATGCCCACAGCAGCACAGCTGGTTTGTTTCCCAAAATAAACCTTGCTTCATATTCTGCAAAATATCTTTGGATAGAGAAAGGTAGGGAGTTTTGAATTTTATCTTCCTGTACTCACTGAAAATCTCTTCCTCGGTTTTGATTTGAGTTTTGGTTGCTTATATTTTAAAACCAGGTTCCTCAACTGAAATGTCTTTGATAGTTACACGCCTAAGGTTGATCCAGCTCAGGAATCAAACACAGCACATGGAAATGGAATTCTCACATTTCTTTCTAGCTTCAGGGTCCAAAGGAATACAGACCGTAGGGAGTTTTACCCAGAGGACTGCAGAAAACAGTACATTCCGAAAGAAGCAATTTAAGAGACAAGTACACAAAGCAGTATGCAGTTGCACAGACAACAAACAACTCGAGATACTGCAAATAAAATAAACCAAGTAAAGGCCTCCTCATTTTCCTGAGAAATACACAACTTTTGCAACTTGAAGGTGCAAGCATTGCAACATGTCATCACCCACCTGTGAAAGCTGTAACTGCACTGAGGAGTCTCCACATAGCTAATACAGTACTACAGGTGCTGATGCTTTTTTCATCCATAAATATAATTATTAGGATTCAGAGCACATTTCTCAGCCACGGCACATACTGAAAAATGACCTCTCACTTCAATACCAGACAATCTTCTGCACACACAGTCTGAAACCACACACAAAAGTAAAACCTCAGTAATCATCACATCCTGATGCTTCTCTGCCATGCCTCACCCTTGCTTCTCACTGTTTACAATCTGGGAATCTATTGCTTTAAACACTTCTGCTATTTCCTTCTCATTTCCCAAATTCATAATCTGTGCAGAAGATACTGTAAATATGTAGCTTATATTTGAGTAACCATTCGATTGGGATTCACTGGAATGATTGCCAAGAGTGTGTGTTGGAGCACGGTGTATGTAGCCCAGGATGACCACCTACTTTTCCATGGCAGTTCTACTCCTGTGTTCCTGTACTGGACACTCACACTAAACTTGCAGTGCAATTCCAGTACCTCCCTCACCTGAAATTTCTACCACTGGTAGAAATTCTACTGCTGGTCAACATCCTGGAGCTACATAGAAGTCAGTCTGTTTTTCTTAGGGTCATGCACAAGACTCCTCCACGTGCATGAAGATGTTCATGGAATACCAGCAGCACACTGTCATTTCTAAGCGCTCACTCATCTGTTTACTCCTCTCTATGGATACCTGCCCACATTATGCTGCCTGTCTCACTCTCAGTGCTTTGCCAGTGACAGTAGTGACCAGCATTCCACAAATAACTGAACAATGGCAAAGCCTGTCTCCAAAACCAACAATGCTACTCTACTATCCTGTGGATCGCACACTGAGACAGAGTAGATCAAGGAATAATGTTGTGGGTCTGTTAGTTTTTGGGTTTGTTTGTTTGTTTGTTTTGATGCTGCAGAAACATGAGATGGAGAAAACATCACTGGATGGAAGATTAGGGCATTTGGCTCCACACTGCCTACAACACTCTGAGACTACTGTGCCTGCACTCCTCACTGCACAGCAAAATGTCTCTCAGAAGACTTTAACAGAGATCCCTGCCAGGAGCACACCTGGGCTTCAGCCAACAGCATTACATACAGTTGAGGATGCGCATCTCCAGCTCAGCAGTCAGACACATACATACTGGAATTGCACAGCAAAGTCAGTAAAAATTCTAACATCAAAACTTTCCAGCATAGGCATCCGTACTGTGTTGAATATCACAAATGGTAATGATCACATAGCTCACTTATTTCAGCCATGGCCTGCTAAACAAAGCAGGCAAACAAAAAGCTTAATCAGAAAATAGAATCAGATCCTAAATAAAAAATGACAGCAGCTCTGTAAAAAGCATCAAGCTTACACTAACAGAAAACAAAGCATTATAAGGAATGGATAAAAAGAGATACTTGACAGGATCTCTGGATACCAATCTGCAGTTCACACTGGATGCAAAAAGGAAAGGCAGCCCCACAACTATCTTATGGTAATTCCTCATTTCAGGTAAAGCCAGCTGGCAATAGCTAAATCTTCTTCGCGGCACACTGAATTATGTATTTGTACATACACCTCAAATGTATATCTTAATTTCACCTTTTCAACTAAGTAACCAGCATATATTTCACACTTCTCAATTATCTCTGAATTTTTAATTAACCTGATATCATTTCCACCAGGCAGACAAAACCAATGAGCAACACATGATTCATATTCAGAAGTAAATGCACCTGCTTTTCAATGACCTTTCTAACTGATGGTTCATTATACCCTCTCCATAATGTTAAAGCCAGTTTGAGTCATACAATTTTAAGCCATTGCGGAGTCCTTTCTGTTCACAAATAACATATGAGAGATTGCTGTGTGGTTGTTTTGAAGGGCATATTTAAATGCAGCATGACAAATAGAATGCATTCCCAAAACACATCATTTTGCTTCAGACATACATCAGCTTACCATCAGCTTACATTAGACAAGATTTTACCAGGAACATTTAAGCTTTAAATTAAACTGATGCCCCACCCTTTCACAGTCTTCAGACTATGTCAATGAAGGAATGCTATTGCTATTACTATAACAACGTGTTTATTTCTAAGATTAAGAAAGAAAAAAAAACACAGCAAAATTCAATGAGACTACGGAGGAAGTCTTCACTGAACTACCTCCTGTTCCTGACACCTCTATATCTTCCAGAAGTCAGCAAGTAATCAAAGGGGCCTGCTTCAAAGATAGTTCATCACCTTTCTACTCCCAACATGCAGTTTTCTTTGTTTTCTCAGGGTATGTGCCTTCAGATGGCTGAAGCTGTTACCACAGAAACGTGACAGTCACCTAGCCACTGAAATATGAACATGGCAAAAGGTGTATCTGCTGAAGGTTTCAAACATGCTGATACAACTAAATCGTGACAACTTCTCACATGCAAAACTCCACTCGTTTTCAAATCGGTTTTTCAGGTCGGATTTCTCAATGCTATCATCATTTGCTTGAGCAGCAGAATCCTGATAAATCCTAAATATCTCCAAAGAACAAAAAACGTTCCTTCTGGTTTCAGACTTCCAGATTTTATATCCTTCTGATATACACCTTTAAATTTACTGATATACCAAGGGTACTGTGCCTGCTGTGTTTCCTTTACTTGGTGTGCTAACTCACATTTTACACCAAAACAACACAAAAGCATGAAAAACATAGCCTTCAATTGCAGTTATGTCATCCATTTGTCAATTTTAAACCATCACTTCATCAATTTAAAGACTGTATTCTGGTTAAGGAAGTCCCTTTACAGCCGTAAGGAAAAAAAAAGATGCTTTTAAGATTCACAGATGAAAGAACATTAGGCAGCTGAGCTGAAAGCTGCCCTAAAGCCACTGGCTGCCTGGATCAGCAGGGAACCCCTGGACAAAGCAGATACTGGTTGCATAGGACCATTTTCACGTGGATAGGACACATACCAGCTATCCAGCATTACTCTGCTTGTACTGTGTCCGCTGAATAACAGACATTTTGGAACGGAATGAACAAACAGCACATCAGAGAGGGTAGCCAGCAGGATTAGAGTGGACTTCTGAAGAAGGTTCTGCTCATATTGCTTGAGCATGAATGCTGTCTTATTGCTGAATGTCAGCAGCTTGGGAGCTTAGTTCTGTTTAAAACAAATAATCCAAAGGCCATAGGCAAGAAAAAGCAGGATTCAAATTAATTCAAGATGACAAAAATATTAACAGCCTATTTTATTCACAAATCATTAAAAAAAAAAATCTGACAAATAAAAACTATGGGATTTTAGTATTCAATTTTTAAGTACATCCGTAAAAGCAGTTTTCAGAAGCTACTCAAAGCAAATTTGTTGACAATTGGCTTTAAATTACTCTCTATTGTACCAGAACAGCCGAGATTTAAACAGACACTTATACACTAATTATTTAATTACTTGACAAGCTCTGGTTCCAGTCAAAAACTGGCTTTTTAACAGTCATTTCTAGTTTGGTGTTTGTTTCATACAAAAAAAATTAATTGAGAATTCCAGGGAAAAGGAAGCATCCGAATTCCGACCTAGTATGCCAATAGATTCAGAAAAAGCAGAAGGTGACCTTGAGCTTGCATCACAGAAATAGGTGTAATAAATGTTTTCTCACCTACCATCCTCTGTAATTAATTAAAAGTGTCCACTGGAAGCCAAAACCAATACATCCCTGATCACTTAAAATTTCCCTTGTTTGATGTAGGACTTAAATAGTTTTTCACTGAAGAGAAAAGCAGCTATGGAAGAATCAAAATAAGTATCTTCACTGAAGAGAAAACATCAATCAGAATGAATTGAAAGCAACACAATGGAAAGCAACAGTTTCTTAATGCAGCATATCTTATTCCTCTTTACCAAAGAAACTGAGTTTCAGCAAAACTTTACCTTTCTCACAATGATTTCCTGTGAATCCAGAAGGACAGACACATTTGTTAGGGGCTACACAAGTTCCACCATATCTGCATCCTTCTTCACAGAATGCTGAAAAATGAAAGGAATATGTGATGCTATTTAGTATTTTTTCAAATCTATAATGCATTTGCAAGCTACTAACAAAAACACCCTAATTCTAAACAGAATTAAAAGTACTAAAATTCAATCCAACTGCAAACATAAAGAGAAATAAGTCATTTAAATGATACAAGGAAAAATTCAGATTACACCATCGGCAAACCACCAATAAAAGATTAATAACCATCTGGAAGAGAAAAGGGAAAAATATGGCATGCAATTTTAATGGGGCTGATCTTTCAGTTATACCCAATATAAGTACTACAATTTCAATGCTCAGGTGATCCACGGAGAACAGGCTGATCAGACGTTGCTAACTGCTTGTTTCTCATCTCCATCCAATGCATTTTATTGAAAGGTCCGTAAACATTGTATTTTCCTTTTGTTTTATTTGTAAGTGCACTGACAAATTACAAACCTTGAATTAGTGCACATTTCATGGAATCAAAAGGTGAATTAAGAGGAGGCTTGTGACTGAAAAGAGAAGGTGTCAAGCACAGGAGAATGCCTCTATTACAGTGTGATTCTTGACAGAAATGCACAAGTACTTCACAATTGTTCATGTCAGATAACTAGGATTTGAAACAAATGATGAATCTCACAGCTTTTCTAGCAAGCACTGTGATATTTCTCAGTTATACATGTTTGGCAGGAAGTCCTTGATGCACCCAATAAGTGTGCAATTCAATGATACTTTTTATTCTTGCCTTCTGTTGAATGCATATGCAAGGAGGGGAATTGAGGGAAGAGGAAAGGAATTTGCAAGCATCAGGACACGATCATTTTGGCACTGCTCACTCCAACAAAAACTTGGTTAAGGCTAAGTGTGGGCCCTGAACCCACAAACACAGTCCTCACTCTCTCCTAGATAGATACTGAACTTCACAAGTTAATCAGTGAGCTTAACTGCACTTATAAAGGAAGTTACGATTAATATTTAAACAGTAGCTCTCTGCGTTTAAGCCAATGACAGAATTGAAAAGTGTTTTCTGGAAGCTAAAATCACAGATGGAGCATTGGCAGAAAGATGTTACAAATGCTATGAAAAAGCCTAAAGTGCTAGATAACAGAATAAATGTTTTAGATTTATTTTCCATTGCACTTAAAAGAAAAAGAAAGAGAGGACAGTACTGAGGACTAGGAAGCCTCTTTTGTAATTTTTAACTGCTTAGAGGCAAAAGAGCACATCATCTTATCTTCATGGAACTCAGAGACCGATGTACTCTAACATAATCTGTAACACATCATACTGTTTTGTGCAGGATAACATGGGCAGAGGAACGCTGAAGTGATTTGGAGAAGATGGAAAGAGGGGAACATCAGCTCTCCTAGGACTGGCACAAGGCAATGGTGTGGAGAAAGCACTGCTCTTGTCCAGTAACACTTCCTGCTCACAGACACACAGATGCGAATCTGCTGAAATATATCTATTTTCAAACCACTTAAAAGGGAAATAAGATTTAAGAACAGCACTTGGGGATTCTTTCTCATTAAATACTTGTAGAAAAGTATGAATTTGCAGGAAGCTGAAATTAGTAGCAAGAAAGAAAACATGAAAAACATGATGAGATGTAAAAGGTGCCTGCTGTAGCTCTTGAGAGAGTTTGCCCACTTCTAGTCTCAGCATACTCAGAAAAGGTGCCAGTTAAATTCATCTACTTTTTTAATTATTATTTGAAAACAAGAGGAACCAGAGATTGAATTAGTGATGTTTCTGCACAACAAAAGAATTGGAGCTTGTGGCAAAGCAGACATAAAGGGCAAAGAAAGGAAAATATAATCAGACTCACTGAAAAAAAAAATGAATAGTTTCTTCGCAATATATACCACATTGAACAGGGAAAGAACTATACCAAGTTCTCAAATACAGTAATAAAGCATTTAAAATCTGTATATTTATTTTCTATAACAACCACATACGTGAAAGAACAAGCTTCTTAAAGTAGAAGTAATAAAGGTCATAAAAAAAATAAACATTATCTATAACAATCACACATGTCCACTGGAAGTCATCAGAGCAGAGGAGAGATGCATTTATTGATGGGGCTTGAGTAAGAGCACTCACACTTTGCCACCATAACCAATACAGTGCAATGTTTGCTTCCTACAATACATCTATCCCGAGGCATGCACAGTGCACTCACTTTTTGTTCTGTTTTCTTTTAAAATAAATAGGAGGAAAAGGTTTCTGGGTTTCTGGGATGAGATTGGAGATCTTTTAAGTGCAAAACTTATGTTCCATCTGCAGCAGAGGAGTCTTACTACCTGCAGGCACTGCTAGGCATTATGTTGGTATCTGGGAGAGAAAACGGGATGCCTGCCATGGGTCCTCCTGATCCTTCCTGCTTACCAATCCCCAAGCACACCTCCTGTGTGCATAGACAGAGCTCTTGTTAAGCCTTTTGAAATTCATCTCTCCTTTACGTACCATATAATGTAGTAATTTCATCTTATTTTAAAAAACCCACAAAAATATACAACAAACAAAAAGCTATAGGGATCGCAGTGTTACAAGATCCTGTACTGCTCAGTAGGGAGGAGTCACCCAGGCAGCAACCTGTCACAGGGAATTCAGAATGAGTATGCAACTGTGGAAGAAGTTGGGCAATGATTGAAGAATGAAAGAATTTAATGCTTCTTTTCAATTTCTGTAGAAGCTGAAAAGGTCCCTGCAACCCAGACCAGCTGCTCTGAATGGCTTGTTTTGGTTGCTCAGGCTTTGGTGGCGGAGATTGCTTCTTTCTTTTTATGCTAGGAAAGGAAATGCCAAGGAAGACACCCACAATTACCCTGCTGTTCCTCAAATGACTCTTCTACAAACCCTCTAATTCCTGTATTGTAGGTCTGCAGGAAGAGAGAACATCAAAACCACAAATCTGTGAACACAGTTACAAAATCAGCACGTTTGTCTGAAGGCTACTTTTCTGAACTGCCAGAAATGAGAGCTCAGGCAGCGCTGATAGCACAGCTCTGAATGTTAAGAATACTCAAAATCCATTATGACAGCAACGCAATTTCAACTGCTTGTAATTTTACCAGCTTCACTCATTTGAACTTTCTTCTTTAACAGAATTTCTGCCTCTGACTGAAAACTTTTAGAATATTTTATCAAAATTAATTATTTCCCAGCAATAGTGTTTTTCCTTTGTACTCTCAATAGGAGGGATCAATTAAGGAAAATCTTTACCTCACTTCTGTACTTACACCTTACTCACAAAACAGAGGACCCAACAGGGAGCAGCTGTGACTGAACAGTAAATCAACTGGAGTGCCCACGCTCTCATAAAACTACCTGCTTTGGTGCTTATGGTTTGTCATACATCTTAGGGGCTGGGAGATCTATGACTTGCACCGTAGTTTAGACCCTCCAATATCAAATCTCTATTATGGCTGGAAAAAGCCCCAATAGTACCTCAGAGCTCCCAGTTACAAACCTTGGCTGTAGTCTCCTTCCTGCTCAGAAAAAGTTAACTCAAGAAAAATAAATCACAGTTCAATCATTCTTCTAATGTATTCCCATAAGTAGATCCTGCCTCTGAAAGTATTTTCAGTCTGGAAATCTTGTTGAAAAGGAATATGGTTACTGAATTTGCAATAAGGTTTCGTGAGGAAAATTAAGAGAAGATGCCATTACAGTAAAGGCTATGACAGTAAACCTTTGTTGTAAAGAAAACAGAATCTACTAACGTCAAGAGATTTCTGCCCAAGTGAACATTACTCTCTGTAATGCTAATGGATTTCTTCCTCCATAGTCAAAGCCTTTATCATATAAAGATCTGCCTACCTGGATGCCTACCTGTGCGACCTGCTGTAGGGAACCTGCTTTGGCAGGGGGGTTGGACTCGATGATCTCTGGAGGTCCCTTCCAACCCCTACAATTCTGTGATTCTGTGATCTTTCCTAAATAGATAAAATTTCTCTGCAGAGGAGCCAGATTTTTGATTTCCTCTTTGGTAGATTTGTCAAGTACGAAGCAATCAAAATGATGAATCTGCTCAATTTGCCATTTTTGTGGAACGTTGCAGGGACAAGAAATTCTTACATTACAGATCCACAAAAAAAAAAAAAAAAAAAATAGCAAACTTGGCACCATGTCCTGCACGTGCTCAAGTTGCACATCCACAGTCAACTTATTTACGGAATACAGGCCCATCCAGATAAATACAATTATCTCCGTTCCCAGTTGAGGGTATTATGGACATCCCCAAGAAGGAAAAGAATAATTTAATGCTGGGTTGTTTTTTTTCTTTTTTGAGGAAGGCAAGAAACTTTTGTTTTGTTTTATTGTTTTGGGGTTTTTTTGTTCTATTTCTTCTTTCCTCGATCTAGATACCAATGTGTAAGACAGCCAGGACGGAAGCAGCACGTCAAGTGCAGCTTCAAATGCTTAGTACTGAAAATTGTAGCCTCTCTTTAGCACTCTACTTATAAAACTCAGAAAAAGCTAGGCAGTTTGGCTTTGAGGTTCCAATCAATTTTCCCAAAAAGCTAAAGAAGTTACTTTCAGTATCCTGTTTGTATGGTAGTACAATTCAATACTTCACCGTGCTGCTATGTGGAAGCAGGTATTGCACTGTGTAACTCTCATTTTGAGAGAGCTCTTATTCTTACTTCTAAGCGTAAGACAGTAATTATTAGATATTATATAACATATAGTGAAAATATCTATTATAATAATTCACTTTTTATTAAAAGAAAAGCACAAATAAAAGTAATTATCCTACAAATTTATAGGAAAATTACTTGACTGTGAAGAGATACAAAAGTCACTTTCCCTAGTAAAATTGACATATATTAAACACTATTTCCTGATCCACACCAAAATTAACTTTCCAATAAAGTAACAATGATATATCACAGAATTAATTTTATCACAAAATTAATTTTATAAAAATTCATATATTGAGATACATTTAATAAATGTACCTTTTAATAGGCCTGTTTCTCAGCATTGCTTTAGTGCAGCACAG